AATATATACATGCATGTGTGGGTATTTATATATACAAATTAATTATACACACCACACTCACATATATTATGTAAACACAAACTTTTATTTTTTTGGATGTGATTAATTGTGATTTAATCGTTGCCCATCCCTAATAGATAACGTCATACTGCAAATTGTAAAACATACATTTTCAATTTAACAGTCCAAGGAGAGATGGTTAAAGCGTGTTTCGTCCGTTTTTATTTTATTTTTGAAATATTAATTTATCGGCCCATTATAACTACCGATAGTTTGGAAAATGTCTAATATCGGCCGATAATATCGGTCTGGCTCTATAATATATTACACAATACACAATTTACAATAAAAAAGACATACAAATGATGAATTTATAAGGCAAATCATTAAGTATTGATTAATCAAGTATTATCATAGGGTAGGCAAATATAATCCTTGGCCCCATTTTTGGGGGGGTTATTTCATTGTAAGTTTACAAGAAAAAATCAAATCATCTGTTATTTTAATTTAGCATTTTTCTAATGCAAACTATATCACTTTTTTTTTATTAACTTGTATATGGATATATTTTAACAATGACGAATGTATAAGGAAAGTTGTTCATTTTATGTCTCGTTACTGGTGAACATTTTCATATTTAAAAAAAAAATAAATAAAAAAATCCATCCCTGGTTAATTTTAAAGGGTTAGTTCACCCAAAAATGAACCTGATGTCATTAATAACTCTCCCTCATGTCGACCCAAACCCGTCAGACCTCCGTTCATCTCCAGAACACAGTTTAAGACATTTTAGATTTAGTCTGTGAGCTTTCTGTGCCTCCGTTGGAAATGTGTGTGCGGTATACTGTAAAGTAGGGCTGTGCAAAAAATAATTGCGATTAATCGCATCCAAAATAAAAGTCTGTGTTTACATAATATATTTGTGCTGTATATAATTATTTTGTATATATAAATACACACACTTGCATGTATATACAGTATTTAAAAAAATGTGTTATTCATATATAAAATATTTATATTTATATAGATTATGTATATATATATATATATATATATATACATACAAAATTTAAGTGCAATTAATTCTTAAATATATACATGCATGTGTGGGTATTTATATATACAAAATAATTATATACAGCACACTCACATATATTATGTAAACACAGACTTTTATTTTGGATGCGATAAATCGCAATTAATTTTTGCACAGTCCTAAAATAAAGACATCATCAAAGTAGTCATGTGACATCAGTGGGTTAGTTGCATCGAAAATACATTTCAGTCCAAAAAAAAAACAAAAAATGCCACTACATTCAGCATTGTATTGTCTTCCGGTTCGGTTGTGGATCCACATTAATGACTTAATTTTAATTTTTGGGTGAACGAACCCTTTAAGTGTGGTGTAAGAAATGGCTCCAGTACAAAGAATTAGCCAAAAATGCAGTATAGTCCCGTCCCGCTGGTGTTTAAATCCGCGTCCGTCTGTCCACCAGGCGTTCCTGGAGCGGTACCTGACCCCGGGCCCCACCATGCAGTACCAGCGTGAGAACGGCAGGGGGCGCCAGTGGACCCTGGTGAGCGAGGAGCCGGTGACCTCGGCGCTGCGGCAGGGCCTCGTCTTCTCCCTGCGCCGCCTCGACTTCGCCCTGGTCGTCACGGTGACGCCCCTCCCCTTCTTCAACCTGGGGGAGGAGTTCATCGACCCCAAGAGCCACAAGTTCGTGATGCGGCTCCAGTCGGAGACCTCTGTGTGAGGGGACAGAGAGACAGAGACAGAGGGACACAACCACTCCACTTTCTTTCTAGATATCACTTTTAAACGACTGTTTGTATGTTTTTTTTATACACTACATGAACTCCTTCGACCGTCCGGATGACTCTCGACGGACTAACTCTTCTGTGAATAATGATCAAATACACTTCACAGATCACACCAGCAACACACTACGGTTTATCAAACCCATGACAAGTGATGGAAACACTACAAGATTGTAGCTGATCAACGCGGAGAAATCAAGTGCTTTACTATTGAGTGATTGTGGATCAGAAGCACATGAGCGGCATGTTTGTAACTCTACTCGTCGTGAATGTTTTTAAGATGTCGTACTTTATTCTTCATCCTAATGAATCGAGGGGCCTTTATATCATCCGTTTACATCGTTCTGTTCACCAGCAAACCCACGGTTGTCTTTCCAAACACACTCGTGGTTTTGCCCTCTTTGGTGTGTACGTCTGTCACGACCAATCAAATGTGTGTCCTTTACATGAATGTGTGCCAATCGTACCTGTGCCTGCAGAGCTATGCACACACACACACATGACCTCGTCCATCCCGTCTCCTCAATGGACCTGTACACACACACACACCCTGTACATAACTCATTCCGCTCTCACACACACTTGTGGACGTCAGTGAAAGAGGAAGTGGACATGACATTTTTAGGCCTGATGCATGGATACAGGCGATGCAGTTTTGTACTCTTGTTTTTTTTTTATCATTTTGTATGAAAGTTAAGCTAATCTTTTAACATTTTCCCTTTAAAAAAGACGGTTTGTTGTAAAGAGATTTGTAGATTTGTTTTGGTTATTGTGTGGAAACCGTTTCGGCAGTTGATAATTTCAGAACTAAAACTGTTGCAGCCTTTTTTTTTTTTAAATAAAAGATCAACTCGACTCTACTTTTGACGAGTTTGGCTCGTGGTGTGAGTGTGTGTGTGGGTGTGTGTCTGCTGATAGTCTAGTGGTGTGTGGAAAAGTCCCCTCGCTCTAGTTTTGGTTTCAAAGCGCGTTTTCGTCTAAATCTGCCACTTACACTAATCGCCTATCGTTATCGGTTTTAAAAGAATAAAAAGCATTTAGTTAATTTGGATAATAGACGTTAGAAGTATAAACTGACTGAAAACCTTAACGGGAGTGAGGCGAGTTGACTGACGGGTCAGTGGCGGGGGGTTTGGTTCGCCGCAGACCCCGAGCATCACTGATATCTCATCTAAAGTGTGCAGTCAAAACCGCCGTCCACTAATACGTGTACGCGTGATCGCGAATTTGAAAGTGAAAGTGAAAGTATTCATAAACTGATGTTTTATGTGAACAATTTCAAACCGTGACCCGTAATATCTCCTAGTTTATATAAAGACATACACTTAAAATAAACTTCATAATCCCAGAAGAGAAGAAACTTTTATTTTTTTAATCAGTGAATTTATTTGGTAAGGTTGTTTTTTTTATGTTCTGAATAAAAATATTTTAGGGTCTGTTTACATGACACCATTTTGGCCCCGTTCACACTGCAAGTCTTAATGCTCAATTCTGATTTTTTTGCTCAGGTCCGATTTTTGGTTTTGGCTGTTCACATTATCGGTACCTTTTAAAATGTGACTTATATCTGATTCCAATGTGAACTGTTTGCATGTTTCAAACTAACCCACATGTGCAAAAGAACAATGACATATGCACTTTACACAACCCACTGTTGCACTAATGTTCGTGTGGTTATGGAGGAAGTAAGCATTTACGCTTTTATTTCTGAATGTCTATGTAATTGAAGCTGTAAAATTAATGAGCAGGTGATGATGAGGAAAAGAATGAAGAGAAAGAAAGCAAAATTGGCTATTTATTAATTAGCCCATAAATTAATTAGGACTAACACCACACTCTCCCTCCATTGACTTGCTCCATCACTTGCTCATCCATGTTTTTAATGTTACTGTCTGTGTCCAGTGCTTATACTCGCCGGCGCTCTTATCTCGTCAGAGTCGACATTGAAAAATATCAGATCTGTATCTGATTCAGGACTACATATGATTGTGGTCTAAATCTGATTTAAAAAGATCAGATCTGGGCTTGATTTGAGTGTTCACACTATCTCTGAAGAAGTCTGACCTGGTCACTTGACCTTTTCCAGTGTGAACGGGGCCTTTGTGTGTTTTGTCTGTTCATCAGAAATCACACATTTGAGAATATGGCTTCTTCATATATTCAGGTTTATATATTTAAGACTTTTGGTGTCCTGGTTCTTGTAAGAAGAGACGAGAGACTTTTTTTAAGTTGAATTAAAATAAGATTTTTTTAAATAATAATAATAATAATATTAAATTTTATTTATTTTTTAGTTACTCTAAAAAAGTAATTAATTACTAGTTACTAATTACCTCTTCAACAATGTAATTAGATTACTGTACTAATTACTCTCTTTAAAAAGTATTTAATTACTTTTAATTACTTTCAAAATCCCATATCAATCTCAACCAGCTGAATAATACAAGGATAGACATGAATCTGTTTTAATTCTTTGAAATAAATACTATAAAATTGCATGAATTATCCTTAAACTGACCAAGATGGAGAAGGTTACATTATAAAAACACACTTTTTAACAACAGACAATACTTTTTGATGTTAAACCCACTATTGTTTTATGTCTGATCTCATGACATTTCACACTTTTTTCCATACATATTTTACAATAATTCATACGAATTTATGCGACCTCATAAAACGCATACGAATCGCTGAGATCGGATTGATCTATGCACAGTATTTACCTCAATTACATCAGAAGTGATTTTAATTAAATTACAGATAAATGAAGAGTAATCCCTTACTTTACATTTTCAATGGAAAAGTAATTAAATTACAGTAACTAATTACTTAGTGTTTACTTCAGTGTCCTCTTGTTGTAAACCTGTTGTTTGAGTCATTGTAACTCGTGCTCTTTCAAGGTCATATGATATTGTTGGATGGTTCCTCATATATTTGTTTTTATGAGAACAACATGTCATTTACAGATACTGTATTGTGTTCCCCAAAACACCTTTTGTGCTCCACAGGTTTGGCTGAGAGTGAGTAAATTGTGCCAATCTTTCTAAAAAAAAAAAAGATTGTCATAAGACTAATGCTAAAGGTCGAGTTCAAAGTGTACGTAGGCGTTGCAAGTTGTGAAAAATGGGTGAAGAGGAAGTGTCTCGCTTAGGGCGTTAGGCCTGTTTTAAGCAAGACAAGCACATGCTAGAGTCATGTCTGATTTCAAAATAATTTAATGTCCATTACGCATGTAGGGATGATCTCGGTTTTCTTCACTAAAAAGTCCACCAAAACTTAACACTCCCTAACATTTAGTTCATATCTGTTAGTTAAGATAGGAAGTTGGGTGGAAACACGTGTTTTGCTGTTCGCTTCCCCGTTTTCTGTCAGTGTCAGTCAGACTCTGGAGGTCTCAGTCGACTGTGTATTTGGGCCCGCGTGAAGGAAGGAAAACGGCGTCAACGTCAGTGACCTGTAGATTTACATCGACAAGCCAACGAGCAATGAGTCCATGGAGGATCCTGCTATTCTGTGCCGTGTGTATTCACGAAGGTGAGCTCACTGGATTTCATATTGTTGGATTGAGTTGAGTGGATGTTATGTTACATAGTTTGGGCAAGATTGATGAAGATTGTTTGGTTTATTTCTCATTGAAAAAACTATTTTAAAGTAAGTCTGAATTCTGCTTCTTTGATAACAGGGTGTTTCCCTTTCCTGTGAAGCAACACAAAATTGCAGTTTGCACTTGCACAAAGTGTGTTCACATACATTAGACTTATCTGTGTTCTTTGTTGCAGTGTGCGGTATAGAGGAACGCATTACTGGTTACCTCGGCCAATCAGTCGTCTTGAAAACTGGTGCAGACACGTCGTGGAACCTCACCAAAATTCAGTGGTCCATTTATACCAACACAACATACATTGCAAGTCTAAAGGATGGCGATGTGACTTTATATCCTTTTTGGACACATAAGGGTCGCGTCAAGCTCGACACCAAAACTGGGGATTTAACAATAGAAAATGTGACTATGCAAGACGGCATGGTGTACACTGTGACGCTGGTGTCCTCCAATGGTTCTCGGATCAACACTGAAGTTCATCTCACAGTCCGAGGTAAGGGAGATATGTAAAACAGTCTTCAGAGAAGTAAACGATCTATTGACAGTCAAAAAGTGATGCCATAGAAGAACTGTATTTGATTCTGCAAACAAGCGTTCAGGCATTAGTTCTTGAAATATGAATTTCACTGTGTATTTTGCCAATTCAAAGTACCTTTTTCCATTATAAAAAAGCTTTTTGGCATTGGAAAGGTTCATTGGACGGTAAAGGCTCTTCATGGAACCATATACACCACATTAACCTCTTTATTTTATTATTGACTCGCCCCCATGTCATCCAAGATTTCCATGTCTTTCTTTCTTCAGTTGAAAAGAAATTAAGGTTTTTGATGAAAACATTCCAGGATTTTTCTCCATATAATGGACTTCAATGGGAACCAAACGGTTCAAGGTCCAAATGAGAGTTTCAGTGCAGCTTCAAAGGGCTTTAAACGACACCAGACGACGAATAAGGGTCTTATCTAGCAAAACGATCGGTCATTTAAAAAAATAAATAACAAAGTTTAAGTTTTATAAGCACAAATGCTCGCCTTGCTCTGTTCTGTGACGAGCGTTCGTGACTCTCCTGTTCAAACTCGTTCATCAAAATGAACAAATCTTTTTTCGAGTCAGGACTCGAAGGGTCCAGGTAAGACCCTTATTCATCGTCTGGAATCGTTTAAAGCCCTTTGAACAGTTTGCACTGAAACTCTCATTTGGACCTTGAACCGTTTGGTTCCCATTGAAGTCCATTATATGGAGAAAAATCCTGGAATGTTTTCATCAAAAACCTTAATTTCTTCTCGACTGAAGAAAGAAAGACATGGACATCTTGGATGACAAGGGGGTGAATAAATTATCAGCAAAAGTTTCTTTAAAAGTGAACTACTCCTTTAAGAGTGATTATATCACTTATTCAGTCTGACTGAAAGTCATTATTTGTCCCCAACTGCAGAACGACTCAAGGAACCGAAGATCCAGAAAATGCTTGATTCCCTCAAAGACGGCCAATGCCACGTGGTCCTTAATTGCACTGCGTTTCACCAAAATGTGAATCTGTCCTGGACTCCCGACGGAGAGTTCGACGGATTGTTTATTTCTGGAAACGCTGTCGACTCTTCGTTGGTTCTTTTAACGTCATTCAGCAACCGAAGCATGACGTTCAACTGCACCGCCTCCAATGGTCAACAGACGGAGACCAAACAAATCACAGTGGGATGTTCAGGTGAGTCTCATTAACAGAAACAAACACTGTGAGGAGGGGTTACATTTATTGACGATGCTAAATAATATGTTTGTTTAGTTTCAGGGCAGAACACAAGCATTGACCCGCACATTGATTTATAGACGATATCAGAGAAGGGTTGCAGGAAAGTGTAAAAATATATTGAAGTGTACTTTGGTTTTTACGTGCACGCATGTGTCTCTGATTGGCCACTGTGTTGATGCCCTCAACATATATATCTCTGATTGGCCATTGTGTTGACGCCCTCAACATATATGTCTCTGATTGGCCACTGTGTTGATGCCCTCAACATACGTGTCTCTGATTGGCCATTGTGTTGATGCTCTCAACATACGTGTCTCTGATTGGCCATTGTGTTGATGCCCTCAACATACATGTCTCTGATTGGCCACTGTGTTGATGCCCTCAACATACGTGTCTCTGATTGGCCATTGTGTTGATGCCCTCAACATACGTGTCTCTAATTGGCCATTGTGTTGATGCCCTCAACATACGTGTCTCTGATTGGCCATTGTGTTGATGCCCTCAACATACGTGTCTCTGATTGGCCATATTGTTGATGCCCTCAACATACGTGTCTCTGATTGGCCACTGTGTTGATGCCCTCAACATATGTGTCTCTGATTGGCCATGGTGTTGATGCCCTCAACATACGTGTCTCTGATTGGCCATTGTGTTGATGCCCTCAACATACATGTCTCTGATTGGCCACTGTGTTGATGCCCTCAACATACGTGTCTCTGATTGGCCATTGTGTTGATGCCCTCAATATACATGTCTCTGATTGGCTACCATAATCAAAACACAAGCATGCCAAATTGACCCGCACATTGATTTATAGACGATATCACAGAAGGGTTGCAGGAAAGTGTAAAAATATATTAAAGTGTACTTTGGTTTTTACGTGCACGCATGTGTACACAATTTCCCTTCTGCATTTTGAGCTTTTGAACGGATTCTTAAACACCTCTGATTGGCCATTGTGTTGACGCACTCAGTATACAGCCTAAGTCTCAGATTGGCCATTGTGTTGACGTGATAATCAGTCTATCGTTATCTTTCTAAAAAGTTTTTTCTTTCATAATCTTCCGTAGTTCTCTTATCCTCTTCTCTGCTCTGATGATAAGAGCGGGGCAGCATGTCACTCACATTTACCAAACAATAGCAAACCACACCATTGAGTGCTAGTTCTTTCTTCACTATTGCGACACGTATCCAAGTGAAGCGACTTTGCAAATAAGGACAAATGTAAGACAGGGCTTGATTTTGTCCATGCGGAATTGATTGGTGGCTCTCGTGTGATTGATAGCCCCCCCCCCCCCCCCCCCCCCAATTCCAGTAAACATGTTTTCAGATAAGAGATGCCGTTGCATGAGGAAGGGGAACTTATTTTACTTCAAGATTACGAGGCATGCAAATAGTAATGATGTGCACAAATATATCTAGAATAAATACTGCATTATTACGTAAAAGAGAGAAGTCAATATTGATCTCATGCTGATTTTAACACACATGCAGTGAGGGAGTAAATGCACTTCAATGCACTGAAGAATCATAAGAAAGGGGCTTTTAGAGCGAACAAAAAGACATTGTTCCTGACAGAAGCCGTTTTACTGCCTGTAACTTCACAGCACTGATGCTTCAACAGAGCAGAGACAGTGAATAGGAAGTCTACATAAATGCAAATGACAAGTTCTTTTGTTCTTTTCTTTCTAGAAGAGAAGCGTGAAGTCTGCAGCGCTGCCCATTCGTGCGGTTCGTGTACTCCGTCTGTGATAGGGGCTATTGTGATTACAATTTTGCTAATTTTGATTGTAGCATGTGCAGTTATAAATAGAGGTAACACGCATTTCATAATCAAACTTTACAATACAACCGTTGCATGACTGATATTGTCTTTATTAACTATAATTTGTTTTTCCCTAGAAAGAATTAAAGGTGTCTTCACAGCAATACTCCGTTGCTCCAGGAATCTAATAACACAGATATTGCAGAAGTAATGGACTCAGCGGTTTACAGCAATACTTATGCGAAAGTGGTACCAGTCCTGACTCTGAGGAAAATATGAGACCCTACATATTACATTCAAGATGGAGGACAAAAACACTTCTTTTGCATAAGATTCAGCTGAACTGTGACCAGCATGCTTGCTTATTAAAAGAAAGGAAGTGATTTGACATTGTGTGCCACCAGAAAATAGATATACGAGACGGGAGCAACATGAGGCAGGAACTTCTGTTTTAAGCAAATGATGAACCGAAGCCATGACTGTAGTTTTGACCCCTGGATTCTGTGTGAATGATGACTCCTGTACTTCAAACAACCTTATTACCTGCAATTAGGATGAAATTATTATTATGTCTTAAAAATACATTTGGCACACATATCTGAAGGCTTATGCTTGTTCAGTTACAATGGATGCAACGCTTCTGGACTGGAACTGATTTCCTTTCAAACTTTACTTGATTAAAACCATGGCAGCTTTTTTAGATAATAAATAGAAACATTTCACAAGCATTAAAAAAAGATCTATGTACACCAGAATGAATTGCATGAATTGCAACAGTGATTGTTAGCGCACAGTCAACCCCCTTCCGCGTTCTCAGGGACTTTTATTTTGAAGTATATTTTCTGTGTTTAGTTCCTGTTTTACTTTGTTTCCATAGTTGGTTAGTGATTCATTACAAACACATGTTGTTTGTTAGCCTCTTGTTATCCTGTGTATTAATGCCAGTGTTTCCATTGTTCAGTGTCTGATGTTTTCCTGGATTGCGTATGAGTGTGTAGTTTTCAGTTCTGTTTTGTCGGATGTCTGTATTTATTCTGGTTTTGCTTGATAATAAATGTTTTTGATATAGTTGGATGCCACTCTCACTCTTTCTGAAACACCAGTGTCACACAGGTGTTTCATATATCGAATGTTTTAGGGGTTCCCATTATGGTATCATTCTATGGATTTAGGGTACGTTTACAGGACAACGGTGTCCTAAAAAGTTTCTCATTTGTTTTTCGCGTACAGGCGATAACGTTGTCGAAACGATCTCCGTTCACGTGTTTTCTGTGAAAATGATTAAAAACGCTGTTTTATTCATGCCAGGCCAGTAGATGGCGATGTCACATTGTAAAGAAAAACTGTGCACATATAGACTGAGCACGTTTTACGCATGGCATCACCATTTTCACAGATTCACGTTTCCCAAAGCTTTCATTTCCAGGCCCCCAAAACCCCATTGTCGTCTTAAAGCTACACTGTGTAACTCTTTTAGTTTATTCTTAGCTAAAAACACTTAGTTCTTTCAAAAATATATGTGCTCATTAATGTGTATTTACTTCGTTCAAGTAATAAAGTATTCTCGTGAGTGTATAATATGCCATCGAAAATACATACGGGTGAGGGGTTCTAATGTCGGTCGCCATGTTGCCCCTCCATCTTGAAAGTACAGTAGCCAAAGAGGGACACACCCGTTAATTCAAGCTTAGCCTTTCTCGTATGTTATGTTAATCTTGGACTAGATTGGCCACCGTAGGAGTTAAAACGAAATCGGAATTGAGAGGAAGAGAAACTAATATTCACTGGATGGTCATATACCTTTTCACCCAATTCTCTCCCGCTGCTCACTGTGCCTGAGCAGTTTGAAATAATTTGTATCCAAACCACAATGTTTAAAGCGTGTTTAAATGATAAACTTACATCGATGCGCAGCAAAATTTAAATATTTCTACCGGATATGCAACCCGGTATCACGACAAGACGTGAAATAATCACGTTGGTCCACTTTGGAAAACGTGTAGATGTCACGGTTTAACCCCCTCAAACGTCAAACTTACACGTTTGACCTATTCTACACGCAATCGCCTCTGCCATAACGACCTATTGGTTTTCATTAAACCGAGAAAAAATGGAATTTTGTTTTATTGACGATCACTGAGAAATGTTCTATTAATTAAAATGCAAAAAAGTATTATTTTCAAGGTGAAAAGGATTCATTTGCCTTGATCCACGCCGAAAAAAACGTCAAAATATCACTTTTTAATGAAGTAGCCAAATGAGTAAAACGTCTATTTTTCCGGCGTCCCCCAGCTCCTCGTTTAAGCAAAAGGTTCGCTAAAACAACGCATTACATCGACGTTAAACCACGTTAACCGTGTTAACCATAACCATACTCGACCTACCGTTGCTTAGCAACGGGAAGAAACTCCTGTAACTTCAGTGCCGTTAGCACCTTAGTGCTTACAGATTAGGAGACATTAGTGTGTTCGCTGCATTTGTAATGTTATACTTTTAAAATAGGTTAACATCCGGGTATCTCTCCACTGGAATGTGTTAACGCAAACGTGTAAGTTTCACGTTTGAAGGGGTTAGAGCCCCGCGGAGATAACCAAAAATTTTGAGTATCTCCGATATTCTTGAAACTCTGGATTCTGATAGAGGGCTATGTGACTTGAGATATTGAGATCCCACGTAGAATTTATGCATTATAAATATCTCAATATCTCAGCTCTGGAAGGGTCTAGAGCCTCGATTTTGGCACTCGGGTCTAAGTCTCATAGCCCTCTATCAGAATCCAGAGTTTCAAGAAGATCAGAGAAACTCAAAATTTCGACCCCCCCCAAAAAAACGACAGTGGTACCCCTGTCGTTTTTTTTTCTGGGGCGAGAAAATAAGTTTCTCCAATCTTCTCATTTTTGCACTCAGTTCTAAGTCTCATGGCCCTCTGTCAGAATCCAGAGTTTCAAGAAGATCAGAGAAACTCAAAATTTCGACCCCCCAAAAAAGAAAAAATAAGTTTCTCCAATCTTTAGAAACTTAAGAAAAAATAAGAAACTTAAGAAAAAATAAGTTTCTCCAATCTTTTCATTTTTGCACTCAGATCTAAGTCTCATGGCCCTCTATCAGAATCCAGAGTTTCAAGAAGATTAGAGAAACTCAAAATTTCGACCCCCCCCAAAAAAACGACAGTGGTACCCCTGTCGTTTTTTTTTCTGGGGCGAAAAAATAAGTTTCTCCAATCTTTTCATTTTTGCACTCAGATCTACGTCTCATGGCCCTCTATCAGAATCCAGATATTCAAGAAGATTAGAGAAACTCAAAATTTCGACCCCCCCAAAAAAAACCGACAGTGGTACCCCTGTTGTTGTTTTTTTCTGGGGCAAAAAAATAAGTTTCTCCAATCTTCTCATTTTTGCACTCAGATCTAAGTATCATGACCCTCTGTCAGAATCCAGAGTTTCAAGAAGATCAGAGAAACTCAAAATTTCGACCCCCCCCCCAAAAAAATGACAGTGGTACCCCTGTTGTTGTTTTTTTCTGGGGCAAAAAAATAAGTTTCTCCAATCTTCTCATTTTTGCACTCAGATCTAAGTATCATGGCCCTCTATCAGAATCCAGAGTTTCAAGAAGATCAGAGAAACTCAAAATTTTGACCCCCCCCCCCCAAAAAAAAAAAAACGACAGTGGTACCCCTGTCGTTTTTTTTTTCCTGGGGCGAAAAAATACGTTTCTCCAATCTTTTCATTTTTGCACTCAGATCTACGTCTCATGGCCATCTATCAGAATCCAGAGTTTCAAGAAGATTAGAGAAACTCAAAATTTCGACCCGAAAAAAAAAACGACAGTGGTACCCCTTTTTCGTTTTTTTTTTTTTGGGCGAAAAATGAAGTTTCTCCAATCTTCTCAAAACTCTGGATTCTGATAGAGGGCCATGAGACTTAGACCTGAGTGCAAAAATGGAGGCTCTAGCCCCTTCCAGAGCTGAGATATCGAAACTCAAAAATTCGTCCCGAAAAAAAAACGACAGTGGTACCCCTTACGTTTTTTTTTTTCGGGTGAAAAATTAAGTTTCTCCAATCTTCCCAAAACTCTGGATTCTGATAGAGGGCCATGAGACTTAGACCTGAGTGCAAAAACAGAGGCTCTAGCCCCTTCCAGAGCTGAGATATCGAAACTCAAAAATTCGGCCCGAAAAAAAAACGACAGTGGTACCCCTTACGTTTTTTTTTTTTCAGGTGAAAAATTAAGTTTCTCCAATCTTCCCAAAACTCTGGATTCTGATAGAGGGCCATGAGACTTAGACCTGAGTGCAAAAATAGAGGCTCTAGCCCCTTCCAGAGCTGAGATATCGAAACTCAAAAATTCGGCCCGAAAAAAAAACGACAGTGGTACCCCTTACGTTTTTTTTTTTTCAGGTGAAAAATTAAGTTGATCCAATCTTCCCAAAACTCTGGAATCTGATAGAGGGCCATGAGACTTAGACCTGAGTGCAAAAATGGAGGCTCTAGCCCCTTCCAGAGCTGAGATATCGAAACTCAAAAATTCGGCCCGAAAAAAAAAAACGACAGTGGTACCCCTTACGTTTTTTTTTGGGCGAAAAATTAAGTTTCTCCAATCTTCCCAAAACTCTGGATTCTGATAGAGGGCCATGAGACTTAGACCTGAGTGCAAAAATGGAGGCTCTAGCCCCTTCCAGAGCTGAGATATCGAAACTCAAAAATTCGGCCCGAAAAAAAAAAACGACAGTGGTACCCCTTACGTTTTTTTTTCAGGCGAAAAATTAAGTTTCTCCAATCTTCCCAAAACTCTGGATTCTGATAGAGGGCCATGAGACTTAGACCTGAGTGCAAAAATGGAGGCTCTAGCCCCTTCCAGAGCTGAGATATCGAAACTCAAAAATTCGGCCCGAAAAAAAAACGACAGTGGTACCCCTTACGTTTTTTTTTTTGGGCGAAAAATTAAGTTTCTCCAATCTTCCCAAAACTCTGGATTCTGATAGAGGGCCATGAGACTTAGACCTGAGTGCAAAAATGGAGGCTCTAGCCCCTTCCAGAGCTGAGATATCGAAACTCAAAAATTCGGCCCGAAAAAAAAACGACAGTGGTACCCCTTACGTTTTTTTTTTGGGCGAAAAATTAAGTTTCTCCAATCTTCCCAAACTCTGGATTCTGATAGAGGGCCATGAGACTTAGACCTGAGTGCAAAAATGGAGGCTCTAGCCCCTTCCAGAGCTGAGATATCGAAACTCAAAAATTCGGCCCGAAAAAAAAAACGACAGTGGTACCCCTTACGTTTTTTTTTTTGGGCGAAAAATTAAGTTTCTCCAATCTTCCCAAAACTCTGGATTCTGATAGAGGGCCATGAGACTTAGACCTGAGTGCAAAAATGGAGGCTCTAGCCCCTTCCAGAGCTGAGATATCGAAACTCAAAAATTCGGCCCGAAAAAAAAACGACAGTGGTACCCCTTACGTTTTTTTTTTTTGGGCGAAAAATTAAGTTTCTCCAATCTTCCCAAAACTCTGGATTCTGATAGAGGGCCATGAGACTTAGACCTGAGTGCAAAAATGGAGGCTCTAGCCCCTTCCAGAGCTGAGATATCGAAACTCAAAAATTCGGCCCGAAAAAAAAACGACAGTGGTACCCCTTACGTTTTTTTTTTTTGGGCGAAAAATTAAGTTTCTCCAATCTTCCCAAAACTCTGGATTCTGATAGAGGGCCATGAGACTTAGACCTGAGTGCAAAAATGGAGGCTCTAGCCCCTTCCAGAGCTGAGATATCGAAACTCAAAAATTCGGCCCGAAAAAAAAACGACAGTGGTACCCCTTACGTTTTTTTTTTGGGCGAAAAATTAAGTTTCTCCAATCTTCCCAAAACTCTGGATTCTGATAGAGGGCCATGAGACTTAGACCTGAGTGCAAAAATGGAGGCTCTAGCCCCTTCCAGAGCTGAGATATCGAAACTCAAAAATTCGGCCCAAAAAAAAAAACGACAGTGGTACCCCTTACGTTTTTTTTTTTGGGCGAAAAATTAAGTTTCTCCAATCTTCCCAAAACTCTGGATTCTGATAGAGGGCCATGAGACTTAGA